TGCTGAAGACGCCCTGGAGGGCGGCCACCGCCATGCAGTTCTTCACCAAGGGCTACCAGGAGACCATCTCGGGTAGGGAGCGCCGCCCCGGGCGGGCGGGCCGGTGTCTCCCTGGGGAGGGCTCCGGGCGGCGGACCTGGAGCCTGCTGTTCTCGTACCAGCCGTGGCTTTCCTATCGTACTGCTTAAACCGGGCTTCGCTACTGCCCTGCCACAGTACCGGCCGTATGATGCTCCTTGTCATCAGCGCTAGGAACACCTCGGGGTCTCTCCGTCCTCTCCTTCCCCCTTCTTAAGCTCTGTGCTCGTAAAGTTCACTTCTGACATAAACTTCTGTGCTTCTGATTTCGGTGAACAGAGCAAGTGCTTTTCCTTCTCTTTCTCTAGCATAAACTTTTCAAGCTCTGGCGTAGAAACTTAGTGATTGTACTTTCCTTCATCCCCAGCTGTGCTAGGCTCTGTTCAGCACGGGTGGTACATTTGCTTCTATTAGCAGATATAGGTGGCTTGAATTTTCTCAGAAAAAGACCACTTCTGCTGATGCTTCTATCAGGTGGGGTTGTTCAAGGGTGGGAATTAAACTTAAGGTGTGGTAAGGAGAAAGAGGGAGGTCCATGACCCGTCTCAGGGTCCTAGCAGTAAATACCAGTATAGAGAGGAGTCCCACGTTCACATCCCTACCCCCTTATCTGCTTGCTGGCTGTGGACCCTCCCTGAGGGCAGGAGAGGAGGAACTGGGTAGGATTTGTTCTCCTCGTTACCAGCAACTCCAAAGGTGTCTCTTAGTTTTAGTGCAGGGTAAATCTTAATTGAAAACTTAGTTTTTACATTAGTTCTCTTCTTAGCCTTTCCACTAACGAGCCTTTCCCAGCTGGGGGAAGCTGGGGAATTCCCCTTTTGCTCCCTCTTACGGTAAAAGGCAAGTTCCTGTTAGTGCATAAGGGATGCAAATACTGTGAGCAAGGAACTTTTGAACGTGAGTGAGGAAGGAGATGATTCTGGTCTGCTCTCCGGAGTACAGCAGTGGTGTGTGAAGCCTGCTGCAGAACAGCATCAGTGTGTTGCAGCTGAACTACGCTGATGTTTAGCACCAGGGAGCTTCTGCTAACACTTTGGAGTCTGTTCTGTAAGTGCACTGTGCGTCAGCTTGAAGGTTGGATTTTGTGTTTAGGTTCTTTTTCACCTCTCCACTCTTGAGTCTTCTGGAGTCAGATTGCATATAACTTGTGGCATTAACTTACTCAGGGCCAGCTTATACTCGTGTGCCAATGTTGTGTTCTAGCTTCCCCCAGGAACAGCTTTTCTGTCTTGGCATTTGTTTTGCCTTTCAAATTAAACCAGGTTTTCAGGTTCACTTCTGGAAATGGGCTCTGTGCTGCAATGGCCATCCTTGATCCTCTCTTCCTTCAGTCCTGCTGTATGACATGTTTGAGATGAGGTTTCATCAGGGTCTTGCAGAATAATCCTTCATCTGCTAGGAATAATTTCTTATTGTGAATCCTACTCTAAAACACAGGAGGTTTCTTGGTTATCCTACCAGTCTCTAACTGATCTTTTTTTTTTTTTTATTTTTAGTGATAGTTTCTGAGCTGTATGAGATCACTGCCTGTCTTAAGGCCTCTCATCTTTCTGCCAGTTGTGTGCAGAGTCACACTTTCCCTTCATGTCTTTTACAGTTGTTTTCCTGCTATGGTGTGGATCTTACCTACCTTTCATTATGCAGAGTAGTTCTGGCTATCCTCCAGTCCCCTCCTCTGAATATCCATACCTGGGAGAGAGCTGTGTTATACCCAAGAGTAGGAAGTGTCACAGCTAGGTGCTGTACTCTTGGACTGCTCTTTTCTGGGAAATAAAATGAAGCTGTGACACTAACAACATTCCTTCCTGTGTCAGGTGGAGAATCCTTTTACTTTCCAGCTACTCACCTCTTCTTGCACAATTCCCAGCTTCAGTCTTTACTAGACACAGAAGAAAGAGCTGTAGCTGAAGAACAAGTCCACAGTATCCAGTAAATTGACAAAAAAACAAGCACACACAAAAAGCAAACTCCAAAAGCCAATAAAAAGCAGCCGTGACTTCTTGTTTTCTCAAGTTTGTTTTACAGCTTATTTGACTCCTTATGTGGATCTGTCTGGATAGGCAGATGTAAAAGCAGCGATTTGTGGGATGTGTCGAGGAACATTGTTCAGGTTTACCCCTCAATAGGCAGAGGGTAACAGACACAATAGCTTTAATTCCCATCCTTTCAGAAAAGGCTTGTTAAGTAAAAGCTGTGTGGTGGTTGTACAAATACAGGGTTAGAAGCAAAGGCCCCTGTCTTCAGCTGGCCCCATCTGAGCTCACAACCCTTGCCACTATGTGGAAATGTGACTGCACAGCCAGAGAAGTGATGAAGATGAACCAAGATAGTGAATGTTAGTATAGCTGCAGACTTTAAAATCAGCCTTTGGAGTTTGTCTGCTTATCTGCCTTAGGTAGGCAGAAGAAAAGCAGTTAGTTTCTGATGGCATTTTAATTTTCCTTATAGGAAGGCGGGGGGGAGGGAAGGTGTAATCTACTCTGGAAAAGAGAAGGCTCTGGGAAGACCTTAGCGCAGCCTTCTGGTACCTAAAGGAGCTGACAAGAAAGCTGGAGAGAGACTTTTAACAAGGGCCTGTAGGTCTAGGACAAGGGGAAATGGCTTTAAGCTGACAAAGGGGACATTTACATTAGATATTAGGAAGAAGCTCTTCACTGTGAGAGTGGTGAGGTGCTGGCACAGGTTGTCCAGCAAGGTTCTGGACATGGGTCAGGGCAACCGCTAGTATCAATACAGCCTGTGGAGGAGGACTTAGAGGTACTGGTGTATGAAAAGCTGCATGTTTCCATAATGTGCAGCCTGGAAAGCCAACATCACAAGCAGCATGACCAGCAGGTTGAGGGAGGTGATTCTCCCCCTCTGCTCTGGTGAGACTCCTCCCCCCCGCAGTACTACATCCAGCTCTGGGGCCCCTAGCATAGGGGAAGGACGTGGACCTGTTGGAATGAGTCCAGAGGAGGCCATGAGAATGCTCTGGGACTAGAGCATCTCTGCTTTGGAGACAGGCTGAAAGAGCTGGGCTTGTTCAGCCTAGAGAAGAGAAGGCTCCAGGGAGACCTTGGAGCAGCTTCTAGTGCTCAAAGGGGGCTTGTAAGAAAGGTGGGGACAAACTTTTTAGTAGGCCCTTCCATGACAGGACAAGGGGTAAAGGTTTTAAACTAAAAGAGTGTAGATTCAGACTAAATCTAAGGAAGAAATTCTTTACAATGAGGATGGTGGAGCACTTGAACAGGTTGCCCTGTGAAGTTGTGGATCCACAATGCCTGGAAACATTCAAGGCCAGGCTGGACAGGGATTTGAGCAACCTTATCTAGTGGAAGGTGTCCCTGTCTATTGAAGAGGGTTTGGATTGGGTGATCTTTAAGGTGCTGTCCAACACAAACTGTTCTATGATCCTTTTTTGTTATTGTGTATCTGAGAATATAATACATTTGGGGCATGGTTGAATGTGCTGGTTACCTTATCTTTCCTGGGTCTTGTTTCTTTGCTTCCATGACACCTGATTCTATTTGTATTTTTGTACTTTCCATAGCTTTGTAGTGCTGTAGGGAAGGTTACATCTAAATTCTGACCCTTCTCTCCATTCAGATTTATGTGAGTAGCAGAGAAGCTGATTCTGCTTTCCAGCTTCTGCTGTGTACTTCCCAGCTTCTCCTTCATAGTGCAGAGTAACAGTGTTCCTGCTTTACCCCTCATTCATCTTTGCTATCTGTGTTCTGCAGCTGGTCAGTATTGTATTTCAGAGCCATTAGAAGAGTTTGCTTGCTAAATGTTTAAATCCTGTTCTTTCTAGATTAGGTCTTTTCTCTTATTAGTCCTGGCTTTACTAAAGGCTTCAACCTTTCTGTCCTGGGTTCAGCTACAGCAGTCATTTTTTCTCCTTCTTAGTAGCTGGTGCAGTGCTGTGTTTTTGACTTTCAGTCTGGGAACAACGCTGATAACACCGATGTTTTTAGTTGTTGCTAAGTAATGTTTACTCTGACCAAGGACTTTCTCAGTCTCATGCTTTGCCAGAGAGGAGGGGAAGCCAGGAGGAAGCAGAGGCAGGACACCTGACCCAAATTGGCCAAAGGGGTATTCCATACCACAGCACGTCATGCCCAGTATATAAACTGGGGAGAGTTACCCGGAAGGCCCAGATCGCTGCTCGGGTCGGGCTGGGTATCGGTCAGCGGGTGGTGAGCGGTTGTGTCCTTTTCCCTTGTTATTCCTCTTATCATTATTACTGGTAGCAGTAGTGGTTTGTATTATACCTTAGTTACTGGAGAGCTGTTATCTCAACTCGTGGGAGTTACATTCCTTCGATTCTCCTCCCCATCCCTCCGGGAGCGGGGGGAGGAAGGAAAAGGGGGGGAGGGAGCGAGCGGCTGCGTGGTTCCAAGTTGCCGGCTGGGTTTGAACCACGACACTTTCTTTGACAAAATGTATTCAAATGTATAGATCTTGCTTCTATACACGACATACAAAGTCATCAAACTTTTGCTGGAGCAGCAAGAATGCCTCCAGTGACTTCAAATAAAATCCACCTGGGGACCAGATTAAAAATGCTAGCAGTTCACACCTGGGTTTCTGTATAGACTAACAGCCATTCCAACAGAAACCTCTTAACGTGTTGGTAAGGATGGCAGAACAGACAAGATACTGATAATTTTACTTCTCAATTTCATGCAGTGCTTCTGCATGAGAATCGAAGAACAAGTTTGCTTTTCCAGAGTCAGATCTATCAGCTTCATGCTTCTGGGAGTAAATTATATAACAAAACAGTAACCTGTCCTCTTGTTTAGTAAAGGCTAACAGTGGGACTGCTGATAGCAGGTGCCTTTAGCTTTCTTAGAGTTGGTTCAGGCAATTGCCTGCCACACAAAGGCTAAACCTTGAAGAGATCTGTCCCTCCTTTTACCAAAGGCTTAATGTCATACTTGGAGGTGCAGTCTGTGAGTCTCTATATAAATACTACAAAGCACAAGTGTGTGCAAATGCAGAAAATGAGTGAA